ATTTTTGAAAATGCTAAGAATTTTTTATCTTTGGTATCTCCTCCTATCCTCAAAGGACCAACTAGATTTACTTTCCTACTATAAAATATGCTGTAGTAGAAAATCTAGCGATATCTACTGTTACAAAAGTGAAAAGGTAAATGACAGACCAAAAAAAACATCATTTTAAAATCAATACATTTATCTTTTTTTTTTATTGAGATTTTAACTAAACATTATAATATCTTGACAATTAATAGGTATATACATATATATTATTAATCACTTCATTCAATAGATTAATAATCAACAGATATTGTTTAAATTTCCCAAGAAAAATTAAATTTTTTCTGATTTCAACAAATAAATTAGCTAATAGATTTTTACTTAAACCAAAAGTATTAATATAAAAAATGATACGTCTTAATATACTACAAGTAATTGAAAATTTTAGTTCGTTACAGAATACAGAATCAAAGAAACTAAAAAATTTTATTTTTATTTCTGTAATGTGTTGCTTGATTGTATTTTAAATTTGTATACATGTACAATTTGTACAATGTACATTGATCAATGCATATTTTAACTGAACAAAATTATATATTTATTATATACATATAACTTACTATATAAGTATAGTATTAGAAAACATATTAGGTAATTAACATTAAATTTTATAAATCTGACAATTTAATATTATTTTCGCAATGACACGGACAAAATCATATCAAATTATCATCAGTAACCTGCTTATTAATGAACCTTATAAATAATAATAATTATATTTATATATTATGCATTCACGTCAATCCTGAAAAAACATTAAAAAATTATTTAAATATGTAGGAGTCATCTATAAAGTATACATGACAATTGTCATTGTTTCTAAATTTGACTAATTAATAAAGTAATCACGTAATATTATTATTAAGCAAAAAAGATACTCCGTAAAAATGTATTAAATATGTTTGTATTTTAATGCAATTTGAGCTATTAAGAATTCAAATATTCAATTTCAGCCGAAATATGGTAGGTTAATAACCTGAATTGGTGATTTCTACACTCAAAAGACTAAATATTGAAAAATGTATATATTAAAATAATTATTTTAAATTTTTGCAATTGGTAAGAATGTTAAGCGTTCTACACATTCAGTGATGAAATTAGAACTGCAAAGATGACACTGATAAATATGTGTAACAGTTGGTTTTTACACTAATCAGTTTACAGAATTTAGAATAAAAAAATTACATATTCATGTATATATAAAAAAATTATTTTTACAAATATATATGTAATTTATTTATTTCTTCAGTATTTGAATAATTTTTATATATAGTTCAGCGATGGATATGCGATCTTCAGGACGATTGTCCACACAGGGAAGATGAAACAGTCACCAGTGGCTTAAGAATGGATCACTCAACATTTAACGGTCTAGAAACTAATATTGAGGATTTTTTAAACAAAACTAATTTCAATAAATATAATAATAACTATAATCATTTAAAATTGTTCTTATACAGTATTAAATGTAACCTTATCATCTGGTTTGCTCTCTAGAGAAAATGGAGGTATTCGACAATCAAATAAATGTCCATCCTCACGTTCCATTCGAAATGTTCCCCTAAAAATAACAAAATCAATTACATGTATTTTTTAAATACAGAGTGCATATAATAGTATCAAGTGATTAGTACAATCTAAATTCTTAATATAAATACTATTGTCTATTTAGTGATTTAGTAAGGGTACATAATTATATAAAAATAATAATATTAATAATAATAATTAAGATTAAGAGAACATGATACCCGCATGTGTTGTCTCCGTCTTACAATGCGTAACATAAAAAAAACTGTTTCAGGCGAGAAAGAACCGAGAAGTCTACAGTTATAATTAATAAACCAAATATTCACCATGAAAAAAGGAGAATTTTAAATGTGTTTCAATATTTTTATTTTTTCGATTAGACCTATATATCATAAGTGATTGAAGTTTGGAAAACTTAATAATATTAGATTTTTAAAAGTATTATAATTTTTTTTTATAAATGACATCAAACAAATAAAAACACTATGACACAGAAAATATTGACATAAACTTTTGGCGTTTCTACTAAGAGTACAGATTGAGTGGTTCTAACTTACACTAAACAGTTTTTACTATGTTACGTACTTTTAAGTTGGGGACAACAAATACGGGTATCATGTCCTCTTAAGTTATGAATTTGAATCTTATTTTTTATAGTTTATAAACAGGTCGATGTAATAATAAGGATGTTATTAATATTTATTATAGGTACATAATAAAATTTTAGAACAGTTTTAAAAGAGTCTGAATTAGTCAATTTTTAAATTGTATGGATGAATGCTGGAGTTGTAAACATGCGACTAGTTAGTGATCATTAGTATGTGTGACCGTGAGTAAAAGAAATAGCATAGCACTCCCGCGTGCATATGGTACAAGTCACAGGCTCTGTATTGCGCGAATGAATGGTAAACAATTTATGCTCATTTTAATGTTCTGAGACCTAACCTAATAATGCGATAATATTTCAGAAACCTGATTAGAATTTGTTTTAAAGAGATCAGTCAATCCACATTTTTAGATTTCTAATTTGAATTGCAAATAATGGACGTTTAGAAATTTTGAAATACCAAAATGTTAAAACCAAATGTATAGTTGTTGGAAGGAGAGGGGTATTAAAATTGGGAAAATTTGACTGACCAGTATAGTTGAGAATAAAAAAGAACAGCATAGAATTTACCCCTATCAGCCAACTCATAAAAATGTCATTGCAGCCAGACTATCCAGATTAGCAAATAAACCAACATCAGAGAACAAAAGAATACTAGAACTACACAATAATCAAGACTATTCTAAAATACCAGAAATAATAAAAAAAGAAAAAATAATAAGCCCACCTTGGACAAGCCACAAGCACATACAACATTAACATTGAACTAAACACATTACACAAGGAAAACACCCCCCCGAATATATAAAAAAATGTTCTAAAAAGCAATATTGAACATCTTATTGATTTTCAAGAAATATATACTGATGCATCCAAAAATAATGAAGGGGTTGGAATAGCCTTAGTAAAAAACAATCTACTGCAGACTTCGTTTAAACTACCACCAACATGTTCCATATATACAGCCGAAGCAGTGGCTATACTACTGGAAATCAAATATATAAATAAAAATGAAAAATATATTATTCTAAGTGACTCGTTAAGCTCCATCATTAGTATAAAAAACAAATTTAATCCTAGTGATATAGCAATACAAATCCAGAACAGACTTGAAGAAGCAAAAAGAAAGAACAATATCATAATCCTTRTATGGATACCWGGACACATAGGAATTGATGGCAATGAAAAGGCAGACAAACAAGCTAAACTAGCTTCCCGCTCAAATGACGCACAATACATTAACTTTGCTCAGTACTCAGATGTTAGAAAACAAATTAAATAAATCACAACCTCCCTTTGGCAAAACATATGGAACAAACAAACAAATAAACTAAACCAAATTAAACAAACAGTGAAAATATGGAAAAGAAACCCAAACATAAGTATCACAAATGAAAAAAAACTAAATCGAGCCAGAATTGGTCACACAAAAATGACACACGGATACTTGATGGCAAAAGACGACCCACCTATATGCCAAGTATGTGGCACCTCACTATCCATCAAACACATATTCGAAGAATGTAGAAAATACCAAAAAACCAGAGATGAATTAAACATAAGCCACGACATTGGAGAAAGTCTAGGTCCAAATCCTGAAAACRAAACAAAAACGATACATTTCTTCAAACAATCTCAAATATTAAAGTTATTATAAGTTAACAACAACAATTTTGACATGCACATAATTATAAGACACAAAATGTCCAAAAATTTACATA